CCGGGGCAGCGGGAGCGCCCCAGCCGGGGAGAAGAGCGGGACGACAACCGACACGGAGCAACCGCCGTCCCGGCTGCTGCTCTTAGAACCGCGGGGTGAGGGGAGGGGAAATAAAAAAAAAAGAAAAAAAACCAACCCATTATTGAGTAATAAGAACAACACTGACCCATTCTTATCAAGGGCTGACAAGGGGCCTCGCTGAGGGAGACCGAGACCGGGGCAGGCGGAGCGGCGGGAGCTCATCGCCTCACGCCAGCGGCTTCCCCGCGCCACCAGCCCCCGGTTCCCGTGAGGCGAGCACCGGAGCCGGCGGGGAGAAGCCAAGATCCCCTCAGCCGGAGCGCCGCGCAGGGCGAGGGGGAGGCTGCACTCACCGGCTGCGGGGAGCAGTCCGCACCTCTCCCGGCAGGAGGGCAGAACGAAGAAGAGCGGGAAGGAGCCCGGACGAAGGACGGCGGCGGGCAGGTGGCCGGAGCGGTACCAGCCGCCGGGCAGGGGCTCCGCCAGCCCCGAACTCATGCGCACTGCGCCCGGCCACCACCCACGGCGGGCGGTTAAAGCGACAGGCGCTGCGCCAGGCTGGGCTGGGGTGGCTCGTCCCGTGTGGGGAGCGGCGCCCCGTCACGGCTCCGCCTCACCCGGGCGGGACGGTCGCCTTTGTCCCGGGCCCTCTGGGCAGGGCATAAGGCCGGCACTCCTCCCTCCCTCCACGCCGGGCGGCCGAGGGCGGCAGCCTGAGGTGCGGTCTGGTCTGAGGGGCTTCGCTGTGCTGCCACATAATCCCCCGGAGCGCGGTTTAAACGCGTGTCCCCGCGCCCAAAGCGCTGCCTGAGCTGGCTGCGCCGAGGAGCGGTCCCCAGCGTCGTCCCCCCCAGCAGCGTGCGCGGGGTGGGGGTCGTGAGTCTCCACAGCCACCCTGGGAGGGCGGGAAGGGAGGCGAGCAGGGCGCCATGACGGCTCGCAGCGGGACAGGGGGAAGCGGTACCTTTGGCTTCGTCCGAGAACCCTGAGGTAAAACCCTGCCCGGGGCTGGCACCTCAGGGCGGCCGGGACGGCCCCCATCGTGAGGGATAAATTGTGTTGGATCTGGTGTCCGTGAGGCTTGTCCCTCCACTGAGCTACTGGGAAATGCTGAGGGTAAAAGGGGTGAAAAACGAGGGTCAAAAATGGCTGGCCCGGCCCCCTGCCTCCCCCTTGGGCCGTACGCGCCCGCGTCTTCAGTGAGGAAAAGAACGGCATTTGTGGCGTTTGTGTGCCTTGTTAATCTGTGCCACCCATATGTTTAACAGCTCAGTAACAAATACTGCCTGTTTGTACTCTTATTTATTGCTAATATACCTTCATACTCGCTGGTATTTATCAAGTAATCATGTCCCCTCCCTCCTTCATTGCGCAAGGCCATGGCAGCCATCACATTAACAATTTGATTTATATTACACTGTAAAAGTTTCAAGCCATTCTCAGAAATAATTATTTCTCACCCATGCTGTGGTGGCAGAAATACTTCTAGAGCAGGAAGTACCTCAAAGTATGGAAGATGGAGATGTTTCAAAAAGATGCGACCCTACCCAAAATAAATGGCTTAACAGAACCAGGAAGGGGGAGCTGTGCAACGTGGGTCAGCAAGGGCTGGGAAATGGTAACACCATCTCCCGTCTGCAGCTTTATCTTGAGCGTCCTCCAGAGCCCAGAGCTGCAGGAGTGGTGTCCAAGAGGAGAGCAAATGGTTGAGATCCCCAAAAGAGGGATTTACCCGAGGTCATTTTTGGTTATTTTAAAGCTGGTCTCTAATCTAAGCTGTGTGGTCATTCTACAGCCAAGAGAGATAGGGAATCTCCACCGGCTTAAGACAGGTTGGACAAATCACTTTGTGAGGAAATGTGTCATCAGTGGTTGTAGTGTGGTAAAGCCTGACCAGAGTCCTACGTGTCTCTCTTGACTGGAGGCCTACTTTAGAGCTTGCTAATGTTAGACTAGATGAATCCCACCTCTATTTTTTTTTCTTGGCTCTGCCAACAACTTGGTATAGGATCATATGACTGTTCCGTGTAATATCTGTTACACAATAGTACAGGAGAGGGCAGTGCCTTATTTCACCAAGGAGTGAAGTGGGAATGGTATCTACTACATATAGCATGTAGACCCTGGTTAAGGAGAACATCTTTCTTCAGGAAACATTTAATTCAAGAATATACTTAAAGGCAAGCATGTACTTTACTGATTTCCAGTGTGGAAACATCAATACGCAGATGCAGAGTGCTTTGAGATTCATCAATGTGGGATGTTTGTTAGATAACTTCAGTGTATTATTCTTACAGCATTATGTTTAAGTATATGCTAACTCACCCTGCCTGAGCTAAAGCTCTCCTTGCTAAGTAGGACATCACCTTGAAGAAGATCTTACAGTTCCAGGGCTTTGTCAGCTCCACAGTGTTATTTTCTTTATTTCTTCATTTACTCTCAGCACCTTGTAATATCGGGTCTAATCTCACATTAAAAATGTGCTCTGTCCACATTTTTCTACCCCAGGTGTGTCTGAAAGAGATTTTGTCCTTTTGATCATCATTTGGATGTTTTTTCTTCTTTCCTCATTCTTCAACATTACTGACTGCTAATCCCAGCACTGACTTTATTCTAGGAGAGCAACTGTGTGTTGACACATTCTGTCCTGAAGGTGGGGAAATTTATGGTGCACAGTTCCAAGTACACAGTCCATTACTATCTATTATGGAGAACTTCCCTCCTCTGCGCTGTGAAAACTTGTTATACCAGTTTAAAAATGTCAGGCATGCATCTCCTTCCTCTAACATTAATCATTAATTAACATGTGATACTGACATTTCTGGTTGCTACTTAAGAAAGCAAAATGTGCACTTCTAACTTCTATCATACTCCAACATAAACATCACAACATACCCAACTGTCACTGTCAGTACAGTCCTATGTATGGAAGCCCATTCTGCAGCCCCTCTGGAAATGCTGCCCAAACCAGAGCCACTAGAACAAGCCCATGTTTGCAAAACTCCTCTTGGCAATGTTACAGGCCAAAATTCAAGTATCTTCTCACAGAATGTGCTTATTACAGTTATAACTGCAAATAGCTGAGACTGGACACATTGAACTAAGCAACTGTGGTCAAAGAAGATCTTATTCACCTGTTTTGGACTTCCTTCACAAATAGTTTTCATTTGGGGTCTTTTTTTTTTCCTCTGCATGTGGCCTGGATTTGATAAGCAATTGGTAGAACTGAGCAGTCAGAAAGTGTAGAACGATGGAAAGCTATCTATTATTTATTTGAATTTCAGTAGGCTTAGAAAGCTCCACAGTTAAAATTCAGAGCCCCCTTGTGCAAGGCAGTGCATATAAAGTAAAAAAAAAAAAAATCCTGTTTTAGAAAGCTGGTAATTTACATTTTGAACATAAGGCAACAGATAGACAAAACAGGGAACAAATGTATGAGATAACCATGAAAGAAACAGGGTTTAGCCAAGGTGAAGATTGAGTTATGTTTATGGTCATTATAGTTGACTTACTGTTGTGATAAACATGGTATTATGATTTGTTATTTGTATAAGAGTGGCCATTGGAAACCTCAAGACAAGACCATGGCTTATTGTACAAATACCAGGTAGCGTACAGTCACTGTTATTCTTGTTTACAGTCAGTAATCCTACACGAAATAAGCTTCATGACTCATTTGTACAACTTTTCCTCATGATTGACCATGTCCTTTTTTTGGCAAGGCACTTAACAGCTAGAGCCAATGAAAGACTTTGGTGTCACAGCATGCCTCGCTTTTCAGTGCCTAGCTGGCGGAATGAATTTCTGAACAGTGAGATAAACCTACAGTATCAAAACTTTGGGATTTGTCTGTGACTCAGCAGCAGGCTGACATCCCAGTGCAGATGTCACTGCTGCCTCTCTCATGCCAGTTCAGTGGCTTTTGTGATGCTGTCAGGTCTGTGTAGTGATCTAGATTAAAACAAATAAGACAAACTGGCAAGATAGGGATAGATGGGTGGTCTGCGAGATGGGTAAGAAACTGGCTCACAGGCCACACTCAGAGGGTGGTGATCAATGGTCTTTACTTAGGCTGGCAGTCTGTCACAAGTGGGGTCTCCCAGGGATCGATACTGGGCCCCACGCTGTTCAACACTGGATGGTGGGATTGAAAGCACCCTCACCAGCTTCGCTGATGACACTAAACTGGGTGCTGACGTGGATGTGTCAGAACGGAGAGCCATGTTACAGAGACACCTGGACAGGCTGGAAGAGTGGGCTACCAAGAACTGTGTGGAGTTTAACAAAGACAAGTGAAAGGTCCTGCACCTGGGACAACATAACCAAAGAGCCTAGTACAGGCCAGGATCTGTGTGGCTGGGGAGCAGCCTCGCTGAGAGGGACCTGGCGGTCCTGGTGGACAACAAGCTGAATGCGAGTCATGAGTGCACTGCTGCAGCAATGAAGGCAAATTGGATCCTGGGCTGTATCTGCAGAGACATTACTAGCAGAGGAGGCATGATCATCCCACTCTACTTAGCACTTCTCAGCCCACACTTGGAATACCTTGTCCAGTTCTGGTCTCTGCAATTCAAGAAAGACACAGACAGACTGGAGAGGGTCCAAAGGAGGGCCATTAAGATGATCAAAGGGCTGGAGAACCTGCCCTGTGAGGAGAGACTGAAAGAGTTACATCTCTTCTCCTTGGAGAAGAGAAGACTCGGGGGGGATCTCATCAGGGTATTCCAGCACTTAAAGGGCTGCTACAAAGAGGGTGGAGGCTTTGTCTTCACAAGGAGCCACATGGAGAAGGCAAGGGGCAATGGGTACAAGTTGCACCAGAAAAGTTTCATCTTGATATAAGAAAGACATTCTTTACAGTAAGTATAATCACTCACTGGAACAACCTCCCCAGGAGCGTGGTAGTCCCCATCCCTGGAGGTTTTCAAGATGTGACTGGACAGGTTGCTAGGTAATTTCATCTAGGCTCCCTTTCCCACAAAAGGCTGGACCAGATGATCTTTTGAGGTCCCTTCCAACCTAGGCTGTTCTATGATTCTATGAACATTTTTGGAAGAAGCTTGTATCTTTTTTATAGCCATATATTTTTGCATTTGGTTTAGAGTGTCATGGGACAAAACCAAACTTCAGGTTGAGGGAGACAGCAACCTCTGAAACCAGATCCACTGCCATAGGGACAGCAATATCTCTGAGCTGCCGAGAGCAACTTCCATTCCTCCCCTGGGTGGTCAGGGTGCATGTGTGGAAAGTGAGAGATGAGTTTTAACAGTCTGGTGGTTCAGAGACAACTGAGTCTCCTAGACTGACACTTTCTAGACAAGCCCTTGAGATAACCATCACATGCTGTAAAAAATGGCCAAGATAGGATCTGTGGAGAGCAGAGACAGTCAGCATTTATTAGGCACTTTCTAGGAACACCTTTAGCATTTAGTCCTGTTTGCAACTAAGCCAGAAGAATATCTAATTTCCAGGCTATGTTCTAAATTAA